AGGGTGTGGTGGAGAGACGATCTGGGCGGACTCCTCTTCCCTGCCCTCCCAACGCTGGCCAAGGTCTCCCCATGCTACCAGCCCCGTCAGAGATCCGCGGGGAGAGTGGGATTGTAGGCTGGTCCACAGGCCCTGGGGGGCCCCGCGTCTAGGTACGCAAGTGGCACGTCTCAGTGAGGAGCTGCGCCAAGCAAAGATGGCTGGTCTGCCCGATCTGAGCCGGCCATCTCCGCCCCCACCCGAGAAAATGGAGGCAGCACTGTTGCGGGCGCCTAGCCTGGTGTGATAGGCGGGAGCCAGGCGGGCGGGGAGCAGTTGGGCTTCTGCCCCGCAAGCGGGGCTGGACTGGGGGTGACTCACAGAGCTCGCAGAGTTGGGCCAGTCCGGCACCTTCTACTCCATTTCTGTGTCATCTCTGCTGGCTTACTTGGCCTTTGTTGTCTCGGGCTGCTCGCTCGAACCTGCAGCACGGCTTGGGCGCTTTCAGGAGTCTTCTTTTGTGACGGCTCTAAAACCTCGAACCTGTAGTTGCTTGTTTGTCGTTGTAGGTTAGTTGTTCAAAGATTTATTCGTGTTTGTTGCTCTTGGAAATGCAAATAGTACTCTGGTATCACAGCGCACACTTCTCAGGGTTGCGCTGTCTCCTGGCACGGCCGCTCCAGACCCGTCGCCATCTTAAAGTCAATATCTAGCACTTTGGAGTCCAAACCCTTGTGGCATCCTCCAGGGCAGACGGATACCTCTTTGGTGTATCTCCTGAATTCTTTTTCCTGCTTCATTAGTTATCACTTCTGTATTAGTCCATTTCTGTTGCTTATAACAAAATACTTGAAACTGGATAATTTATAAAGAAACAATATTTATTGCTTAAAATTTTGGAGGCTGGTAAGTTAAAATCCAGGGAACATATCTGGTGAAGGCCTTTCCTTGGTGGTAACTCCACAACAACACAGTTATCACATGAAAAAAAAATTGCAAAAGCAGAGAGAGAGCTAACTCACTCCTCTTTTTAAAGCCCCCAGAGCCAAGTCCATGACCTCCATCAAACCATCAACTTATTAATCTATTTTTCAGGGCATGGTCCTCACAATATAATCATCTCTTCAAGGCCCCACCTTTCAATTAATATTATAGGATTTCCTACCCTCTTGACACTGTCACATTGGGGGTTAAGTTTCTAATACATGGACTTTGGGGGACACAATTCAATCCAAAGCAATTCCTAACCACCCCTTTTCACCTTCTGTGAAGAGGTTGAAATCACTAAGAATGTGACGGCCTGTTTTTCTTTTTGCTATTGTAGCTTGTATCTTTTTGATACATTTATTATTGTTTTGAGGGATGCTTAGAAGGGAAAGGAAATTAAAAAAAAATACTTCACTTTATTTTTAAAAGACTTCAAATTTATTTTACATGAGCATATTCTCTTTTTGTGTGTGGTTAAAAAAAATAACATGAGATTTATCCTCCTAACAAATTTTCAAAGTGTATAGTACAGTATAGTATTGTTGACTCTAGGCACAATGTGGTATACCAGATCTCTAGAAATTTTTCATCTCGTTATCACTAAAACTTTATATCTGTTGAACAGCAACTCCTCAATTTCTTTTTCCCCAGCCCCTGGTAAGCACCATTTATTTTCTGCTTCTAGAACATGCTCCTTTTTTTTACGTTCTCTCTGGCTATCCCATCTTTATGATGTTTTTAAAGACAACTATTTATCAGATTTAATATTTACTTGTACTATTTTTTTTATTTCGGGTTTTAGTAAGGCTGAGATAATTTTTATTCTTGAATAGTCTATCATACCAAGTCTTTTGGGACAGTCAGAAATCTGCTTTGATTTTCAGTCCTGGCCAAGACATTAGCCTCCATTGCTCTACATTACATTTTTTCCCTCAAGGCCCCTTGGGTATCAAACAGTGACTTAGGCTCTTTTCCCAGTGAGTATCCTCTTCTAGTTTTAATATTCCCACTGTAAGACTCAACAGACAACATCAGTGTTTATGTCTCTAAAAAACCACAATTAGTTGATTGGCTGATATTTACTTAGCCAGTTAATTGCAGAACTTGGATAACTGTTTAGTTCAAGCAATATTTGTAGATGTCTACATGCCTGATATTGTGCTTAGTGCTAGGGGTACAAAGGTGAATATGACAGGTGCTATTATTTTAATGTCTACCACCTCCCCCCAAGCTCATTTGGAGCTTAATGCCCAATATGGTATTTGAAAGATGTGGCCTTTAGATGGTGATTGGACCATGAGGGCTATGCCCTCATGAATGTATTAATCCACTTGTAGATTAATGGGTTAATGGATAAGTGGGTTATCACAGGAGTGACACTAGTGGCTTAATAAGGACAGGAAGAAGTACGTTAACATGGTCTCACTCAGCTCGCACCGTGTAATATCTTACAACACCACAAGACTCTGTAGAGAGTCCCCACCAAGAAGAAGGTTCTCACCAAATGTGCCCCTTGACCTTGGACTTCCCAGCCTCCAAAACTGTAAGAAATAAATTTCACTTCTATATAAATTACCTGGTTTCAGGCATTCTGTTATGAGCAACAGAAAATGAACTAATACAACAGGATTCCTCCTTGTTAAAAAAAATATGTGCGCGCGTGTGTGTGTATACACATTAGAGTTGTAGCTTTCAAACCTTTTTGATTATAACCCATAGAAACAAAATTTATTTAATGACCCTGTGTACATATACATATTGATAATTAAATCAAAAATTTCAGAAAATAATACTTAACTTTCTACATGCAGTGCATTTGGTTATTAGTCTATTCTATTTATCTAATTGAAAATATCAGGTCATAATATACTGAGTTGACTTTACCAGCCAATAACAGGTCTTGATCAACAGTTTGAAAAAAGGGTGTACAGGGAGTGAGTCATCGAAGACAAAAATTTCAAATAAAAGGGAATATTGCATGAATGATCTTTCTGTATTTAGAGCTTTTCTTACAGATGATGCAATGCTGCTTATTTTTAGCTTGAACTCATGTATGCTCCTTAGACATTCACATTACATGTTACATACTATCAGCACCTTGGACCCCGACAGGATAAGACACAATTCAAGTAAATTTTGGTGGAAATACTCCTTGAGTTTTGGGAGGCAGGAAAAGGTTGAAGGGGAAGGGAAAACAAGCTGAGCCAAGAATGAGTGGGTGGATTGGTGGGGGGGAGGCTGAGGAGTTACTTAACCTAGTCTTCAAAGCAGAGAGTAATCAGAAGACCACTTACAGAATTAGAAGAGTTTGGGGGGATAAAATCATTTACTCTTTTCCCACTTTGATCACACTCAATCCCTGTTAAAATTTTGCTGTGCTGGTCTTCCAGATCATTTTTTAGTAACTTCACAGACTTGTGAATTCATAAAGAGTATATAGTAATTATTTGTATGTGTTTTGATTTATATAAGGAGTCATTTTGTCTCCTCCATTCCTTAGCTCCAGAAAGTCTTACCTGGTGCCCTTGAAGTCTTCCAACATCCCATGGCTCACTTACATTGTATTGATATAATATGTTTCTGGGTCTTGAGAGCAGTGAGTGCCTCTTTCTTCCCTGAACTCCTAGCACCCACCTGTGTCCCAGGCGCAAGTAGGTAAGGTACTCACCTACACATTCCCTGGATTCCCTAAATCTCAATTTTCTCCATTGTGAAATAAATGAACTCCAAGGCACTTGCAGTCCTAATAATCTATGACTCTGATAGATCTGAAGTAGCTCAAGGCACTCTGCTTTACATGAAAGCCCACATCTTTGCTGTGGTTGGCCTGAGATTACTAGTTCAAACATGAATGACCTGTGCATGATTTAGGGCCTAACTCCAGCCTGTTCGAATCAGCAAGAATGTTGTGATAAGACCAGTTGAAAGCATGCTCTGGCAGTGCCTGCAGCAAAGAAAGCATTCCAGCTCTGCTGTCTAGCCTGCAATATCCTCTAAGGCTCTGGATTGGTCAGAACAACAAAGGGCTGGGGTAGAGCCTTTATATATTTCTCAGAGGGAAAGGCAGTTCTAGACAGTTTCGAAGTATTCCAGGACTCGCTTTGCTGTTGAGAAGCTGTGCTCAAAGCTGAGGAGCTAAGCCACTTGCCAAAATGTGCAAAGGACTTGCAGCTCTGCCCCAGTCATGCCTGGAAAGGTGAGAATGAAGTAATTTTGGTTTAACAGATGGAGATATGGAGAATCTTTACTCAAGGGAGGATACCCAGAGGCAATAGAAGCACTGTAGTCTGTGGCTAAACTGAGGTGGAACAGGTGCTCGATTGTAGACTAGGAATTGTCTCTTCCCTGTAAACTGTACAGAGATTCTGAAAGATCCAAGCTAGGAAACCGATACAACAGGGGATAATTCATACATCATGTAATATCCAGGACATCATTCCCTTCAAGGAGATGCCTATTTTATAGGCATCTCAGAGTTTTAGGAAAAAAAAGTTGTGGTTTAAGAATTTAGAGTCCAACATCAAACTGTCTGGGTTTGAATTCTGGCTCCACTACTTACTGTTTGTGTGGCTTTGGGAAATTTATTTAACCTCTCTCTATCTCAGTTTTCTTATCTCTAAGATGGAAATACTAACATTATCTACCTCACAGGCTGGCTATAAGGATCAAATTAATTAATTATATGAAACAGAACAATGTCTGGCACATAGTAGAACCAAATAAATGTTAACCCTTAGTAATGTCCAGGGACTGGGAGAGGAAGGCAGGTTTGCAATGAGGCAGAGGGGATCTCTCATTGTTCTTTATAGTCTAACCCCATCAGACAGAAGTAGCTGGACTGCTGGACAGAAGAAAACTCTTCAAACACAGAGGTTATTTATTAGTTAGCATTCTTTCTTAGAGGCTACCTGGTTGTCCTTAGTCTGGACAATATTCTGGAGAGAATCCTAAGTATCTAGGCTAAGTAAATAGAAGAATTAGTATCTTACTTGTTAGAAAATCCTACCTGATGCACTTTTCGAAGTGGGGCTGTTTCTCCTCTTATTAAGAATGGATTTGGTTAAACTTGGTTTGATTCTTCATGTTTTAAAGAAAATAAAAGATGACTCTTGTGCAACTCTCCATCCCTAAAGGCACTGGCAATGATTGTCTAAGAGGGTTATGTTGCTTAATGGGCCATCTATGATATCTGTCTCTTACAAGAAGAGGTCTTCTTTATGAGGACATCCACCCTAGAAATAACCTCAAAATAATTTTTAAGGCAATAACATTGTAGCATAGGAATTTGTTTCCAACAATACTGTCTAGTGTCTGAAAATAAATTCTACAGGGAGCCTTACTCCCTGCTGTCAAAAGGATAGATGATTTCTTAAAATGCACATAAAAGAAACTAAAAGCAGTTAAACCATAGTAGTTAGATTGTAAATAGGGGATCTGTAGTGTCCATTGGACCAACCTTGGGGAGGAGGACAGTTTTTAATGCTGGATACTATTTATTGCTAGCAGCCCATCCCTCCCTTCTACCTACTCTATTCAAAGCCTGAGAAATAAGGAGAGCACACAGAGCTGAAAGCCATTCAAAGTTCCTTGAATATGAGACAATGCCTAATTATTTCCTTTTCTGTTTTAGTGACTATTAGAATTGCAACTTAACAACTTTAATGGATGCCTTTAGCCACTTCTTATTTGAAATTCTTGTGTACTCTCATGTAGTGGATAAATCTTACCTTATTAATTGGCGAACAATTAACTCTAGAATAATCGTAGCATCAGTCTAGTCTGCCAGGCATTTTGTGATCCTATGACACACTGCTTGGCATTTAGTGAGTCATCAATAAATGTTTGTTTTAAGTTTGACATTGTTACTAATTTTTTCCATATATGTTCTTATAAATATGCATGTTTACTGAGACACTTGAATGGAACATTTCTTTCAATGATTTCTGTTACTGTTTTATATCTGATTCACTATCAACATTAATATTGAATCACTTTATGTATCTTCTAATGCACAGTAAATTCTTATGCCCCAGAACATAACTAATGTTCGTGTAGAATATTAAAGAGTTGCCAAGGAGCAATCTTCTGTTTTTTCTTTTTTCTTTTTTTTTTTTTTTTCCTTTTTTTCTTGCATAGCCTGATCCTTTTAATTTACTGGAATGTGAATCCTGCAATTATTGGGTGTTATTAAATGTTTGAAGAAATGAAACTATGAAGTTGTTAGCACACAGCCATGGAAAGGATCTAAGATGGTCTATTCTAAGAGTAAAATGATACTTGAACAAATGCTTCCAGCCCTGCCTTCCATGGCTCTATACTCTGGCTCACGCCTCCCTCACACCCACAGGCTCCCACCTTTTCATGTCTTCTCCCCCAGCTAGAGAAGGAACATGGGTATGCCTCAATGCTTAAAGATATTTAAAAATTAATATAAAATAAATGAGGATGATAAATACTCATTAAAAAACAATTCTGTTTTTAATGGAAAGCTCTGCTGAAGAGTTAAGTTGCAACTTCTATCTTGCATTGAAAATAGAATTCAGTTTGCTAAAATCTGATTAACATATTGTCATTTATCATAGTGGAAAGAGTACTAGTTAAGGAGTAAGGAGCAGATTCAACTTTGTCATGATCTGAATTTGTGTTCCTTAGCAGTTTACTTCACTTTCCTAGGACTCTATTTTCTAATTTAATAAGTAAAAGTTGAATTTGTTGTCCTCTAATATCCTTTTCATTCCAACATAGTGTAAATGAAGTGAGATACATTTTGTTTCAGTGCAGTGAGAGATGCAAAAAAAGGGAAATTTTTCCTAATTTATTTTTCTCCAAAAGTGTGGGAGCAGAGAAAAGACAAATAATGAACAACCATCAAAGACCCAACCCTAGGCTGAAACCGCTGAACTGTGGCAGAAGAAACTTAGTAATCCTAATACTGGTTTATGAGAAAGCATAATTTACTTGGTCTAAGGGGAAATTTAATCCTAAAGAAAAATTCTTTTGTTAATGTCTAGGGAAGCATTAAGCTAGAGTGAACTTTGACATATTTGTAGAAACTATTCTTTGTTTATTTATTTAGACTTTTAGGACTACTGCTCATTAAAACTCAAGGCAGAACTCACATATTTTTATATATTTAAAAAGACAAATAATCCAAACATTTGAGAAATGAATGGCCAGCACCACACAATTTCTAAGCTCTGGCATATTGAGACCGTACTGTATGGGTGGGAATCTTACACAGTCAATTAAAAAGGAAAGATTTGAGTCAATTGAAGATCTTATTTTTACCAGTGACTTTTGACTTTGAATTTTAGGTTTCTTTTGAAAACTTGTCTTATTTTCTGAGTTTCTTGAATTTCTCCATACAAGTTTAATTTTTAATGTAAATATTGCTCTTTGGAAATAGATCAAATATTTTGAAATAAAGTGCTGTCATTATGAATCCCAAAAAGTCTTCACCAAATTATAAAGCAACCAGTGTGGTTATTATTGTCTTTGTTCATCAGTGTTGACTAGTCTTAGTAGCAAGTTCACAGTCTACTAAACTAACAGGGGGAGTAAAGGCGTAACTAAGACTCGGGTTCTGACAAAGAATTTTCAGACATTAATAAAGTGTCACAGACCCTTTACTGCTGTAGGTGTCTGGCATAGATATGATTTCTGTTTAAGACTATAAAGATTGCTAATGGCGTGTAATGTGTTTAATCCACAGTTCACACAGGGGCTTCTGGTTACCTCAAGTGTGTGGCAATGCTCGGAATTTCAGGTGATATAGAAAGTAAATGGGAAAGGTGATTTTTAAAATTTATTATTTTAAATTTTATTTTAAATTTTTAAAAATTCTATTTGTTTTAAAAATGTATTATTTTACTAAATGTTCCATTTTTCTCCGTCTTCTCTGATTTATGTGGGTCAGGTATGGACAATTTAGAGTAGAAAGGCACCTAATAAGTGGGGTTACTAATCAACTAATCTTTTAAGATTTTTAAGCCTTTGGAAGCACCAGTGGGTCAATGCCCCTGGGTCTGCAAGATTAAGTAAATACGGACTTTCCAAAGGCATGAGCGCATCCTTGGGCCAATTGTAGAAAAAAGATAGCACCAAGTAAATTAAAGACTGTGACAATTAACTTGAACAAGTGATAGCTCAATTGGAATGAATAAAGGATCATCAAAAAAGCCTTAAGAGATTGTGGAAAAGCCTCTAGCTGGGTTTAATATGCCTGCTGGAAATAAGTGTGAATTTGAAGCTTACTATAGCTAATAGTCTAGTGATATAATTGAAAATATTACAGTAAAACTTTATAGTGTTAAGAAAATGAATGAAGTATTTAATAAAATTTGGATGGGAAGTCACTAAGAACAACTTTGTTTTGATTCTTATCGGTGAAACAATATCTATTATTTCTCTGGATTGCCTTTCAAACTTGTGTACTTGTCTTAAGCATGCAGAGTAAAGATCCAGGCCCTGCTCTCAAGGAAATTTCAGCCCAGTTAGGAAGATAAATAAGAAAAATTAATGCTCAGTGTTGCAATCCACTATAAAGAATAAATGCACAGCATGCTAAGAAGCACAAAAGTGGAAGGAGTGTGTGGGGACTCATTCACAGAGCTTTTGGTAGTCAGGGAAGACTTTGCAAGAAGTTACAGGAATGTTGCTTGAACTGTCTTAAGGGACAGAAGATTAGCCAGGTCTAAATAGGAAGAAAAGAAAGAAGGAAGGGGACAGGCCCGCACGTGCAAAGGCACAGAGGTGAGAGGAGACTGCAAGGTTAGCTGATGTTTTGACATCAATATACAGTCCATAATATCTCTCAGAGTAAAGCAAAAAGGAAAACCTGCATATGGTTGTCTGGGAAATTCTTGAGTGCCCAAGGCTGAGGACTGAAGAGATTTGCTCAGGGGAAAGACTGTTTTTCCCTCTTTGCCTCAAGAATTTAATTCCTGAGAAGACAATCTGTATTTGGCATGCAGTAGGCACTTAATAAATATTTCGTTGAAAGAATGCACGAAAGAATTTACAGCAAGTGGAGACAGACTGCTGCCAGGCCAGCCTGGTGTTTTCTCTGCTTTCCCAAAGGTTTGGGGAGAACAATATCAGTATCAGCAGTGACATTTTAGGCCACAATGGGAGAAAGAATGTATGTTGCTAAATCGAGATGGATTCCTGCTGGAGGAGAGGGGGAGCCGGGATTAG